TTCTTGCTTCGCCCCCTAGAGTCAAACTGCAATGGCTCCTTCATGGTATGACTGTTATGACACTCTCGCGCATGTGAGATGTGATCCGCCGCGCCTTTCTATAAGAATATGGTTTGTTGTATTGGGGCAGGTCGTGTTCTGCACGCGTAGATAGGGCTGTTTAACTGCAACTGATTTCAGCATCAATGGATAGACCGCTTCAGACAATCGATTCCTCGGCGCATAATCCTGTATATAAGAAATCAGCCGCATTTAAAGTTATCACAGTGCGCTAAAAACTGCTTAGATTTACCATTTTGGAAGAAGGAATGTCAGTAGGACGGATCCTTTGTTCCCCTCACATTTGTTCGTCGTGGTTGGCTCAAGCTTATCAATATTTAGTCGGACTTGCTCACATGCCCTCCCCCCCCCACCAGGACACGGGAATAGGAACACCTCCCCGTACCTAATACTATTGGCCTTGGGCTAACTTTTAAGAGAGTTAATTATTCCCGTGCCCCAACTCCAATCGATACTTCACTCTGCTCCATTAACCTTAACCCCAAGTTCACGAAAAAATCAGTGCAAACTCACCTGTATCACAGGCAGTTCCTGTTCCCAATTCACAATCCTCACCCAGGTTTGTTATAGTGAGGAATATGCCAGCGGCTACACGCATTTGATGTAGGAATCTCCGCTCCTGATATGTCGTAGTCCACCGTATGCTCAACAGCATGGTCACACAGGGAGGTGACTTGCATGTAAATAACTTTGAAGTGATATTGGGCTGCATCTACCGCAATCCCTCCACCCTCGCTCCATCTGTGCCCGGCCTCCAGACAGTCAAACGGAGACGGAAGAGGACGCAACTGCCTGGCGTGGCATGAGCCTGCACCTAAGTGCGGCACTCTCCATGTGCGGCGGTTGCCATGGCAGCACCTCCCGAATAATAACGCCTGCCGTGCCCTCATGTGAGGCCCGTGTTGGTCCAGCACATCCACCACGCTGTCCTTTTAGAGGGGTGAGG